TTCTGCATTGCAAATAACATTGCAAATGACATTTCATTTAATTTCATGTGTGCAAGCTTTAGTGTTAACATTGCATAAACCAACTTTCTCTAACAGAAAAAGAAGGTTTTCAGTATATGTTGGCTAGCATTCTCTTCATTTACTTAGTTGCACTAACACAGTGTTACTGTTCACAGAAGCACTAAACTAAGCTTCTTTGTGCTTAGAATTTCTAACATGTTCATGAGCATAAAACTCCTAACACATTAAAATCTGTCTTATGCATTACAAGTAACATTTCATTTCACATATTAGAAACATCTTTCATGTGGGCAAGCTTTAGTCTTAACAATGGATAAACCATCTTTCTCTAACAGAGAAAGAAGGTTTTCAGCATATGTGGGCTAGCATTCTCCTCATTTGCTTGGTTGCACTAACATAGTGTTACTGGTCACAGAAGCACTAAACTAAGTTTCTTGTAATAAGAAGCTCTAACATAACTTCATGAGCATAAAACTGCTAACACAAAGAAATCTGTCTTTCTACATTGCAAATACCATTTCAGTTCACATGTAAGAAACATCATTCATGTGGGCAAGCTTTAGTCCTAACATTGCATAAACCAACTTTCTCTAACAGAAAGTTGGTTTTTAAGCATATGTGTGTTTGCATTCTCTTAATTTGCCTAGTTGCACTAACATAGTGTTACTGTTCACAGAAGCACTAAACAAGCTTCTTGTGCTAAGAAGCTCTAACATAACTTCATGAGCATAAAACTCCTAACACATTAAAATCTGTCTTCTGCATTGCAAATTACATTTAATTTCATATGGTAGAAAATTATTTAATGTGGGCAAGATTTAGTCTTAACATTGCATACACCAACTTCCTCTAACAGAGAAAGAAAGTTTTCAGCATATGTTGGCTAGTGTTGTGAATTCTTCCCTTTAAGTTTAAGACTTGCGATCTGCGTGATGTTTCAGTAATGACTTACGTAAATAACGTAGTGCAGGGTTCACCGCATGTACGGTCTTAGCGTAACTGCCTATTCACTAAGTTACCTCAGCACGGCAGTCATACTGCGTGCTCTCACACAGGTGCAGCGTTTATGTGCAAGAGAAAGTGCGTGACAAAGTGAGTTACTTCGATGTATATTGTTAATTACCTAGATTAAGAGAAAGTGCGTGACAAAAAACTACCTCAAATACACTAACGTGTATATGGACAAATCTTGTGCAATAAACGGTCAAACTCAATATGATGACTCCTTGACAAGAGTTCTGCAGCGGTCAATAATTATTAACCAGCATTCAGTGGGGCAGTCCCCAACATTGGTCCTTCGAGCCGGAACTATTGACTACTGCAGTGATGTCATCGCAAGAGCAAGCCACTTCTCTCCCTCCAGCTGAGACGTCAGACAGACCCTCACGGCATCGTCGCACACCCAGACATCTGGAGGAGTATCTTCTTGACTATGGCCATCACCGACCTGCTCTTTCCTCCCCACCCACAGAAGAGGTACAAGCGGACCAGAAAGGAGCAGCAGCCGCAGTGGGCCTAGCTAGTCTGTCACGACCAGTCTCCAGCCAGGGTGAGCATCCAGACACAAGCTCCACGGACTTGTTGAGCATGAGTTCATTGAGGAAAATGTTGAAGTCTATTTCTGACAAGGAGAAGGATGAGGCTGCTGATATGGCTGCACTTCACAGTAAACTTCAACAATATGAAAAACGACAGCGTCGGCGTAAAGAGCTGATGGAACATATCACGTTGTTCCTGAGGGAAGAAGAGGATGAGGAGGATGGTCAAAGTGGAAAGCCCGCAACATCACCAGCAAGATCCCCTTCAGTAACTTCTTCACATCTGCCTCCCTCAAGTCATTCTACACCTTCATCACAGTCACCTGACATTGAGGGACGTGTGAGTGACACACAAAGGAATGCAAGTAAATCTCCTGCGTAGGCTGAGGACTTCAACCCTGGATTTGTTCCAATACATCCAGTCAGTTCAATCCCCTTGTATTCAACAGTTTCATCTGGAACGTTACATTCTGTTTCGCACAAACAACAACCTGCGACAAGAGCAGAGACTGTGCCACCACCCTTTACGAAGCAGTTTTCCCTTTACGAGGATGCTGGAAAAGCCTTTCAGCCCCAAGTGCAGCCACATCTAATGGCACCTACGCCAGCCTACCAGGACCTTAATGCAGCATATGGCCACTTGGCAGTGTCACCTTCACAACAACAGTTTACTGCTCTGCCTACAGCAAGTTTTGTGACTCCTCATTATACTCCTATGACTCCAGCCGCATCAGTCTCTAAAACCCAGCCTAGAGTTCCAGTTACGACTCTGAATCCACCTGCCTTTGATACCCCCTCTCTACAGCCATTTAATAAGGCACTGAATCCTACAGAATACTTTGTGCCTCACCGCCCTTTGCATGCTGCGCCCCAGCCAAAGATTCCTGATTTTGTGAATGACAACGAAAGGGAATTTGCTAACCTGAAGTTAGCACTGGACAACCTTCTTGAACCTCATGCAGAGCTAGATGAGAAATACAAGTACCATATTTTGCTGGAGCACCTCAAATTGCCTGAGGCACAGGTGATTGGCCAGTCTTGTCGCCATCATCCATACCCATACTCAGCAGCTATGCAAGCCCTTCAGTTGCAATATGGTCAACCACACCAGCTGGCTCAGAGCAAAATAGCAGCAATCCTCACAGCACCAGAAGTCAAACCAAATGATGCTCGTAGCTTCCAGAGTTTCGCTCTCCGCGTCCACCTCTTAGTGAGTATGCTATTCTCGTTGGAGGGTCCCAGAGGGATGGAGTTGAACTGTTGTTCACACGTAGATCAGTAAGCTGCCCAAGTACTTAAGAGATGGCTTCACAGAGTTTCTCCAGCTGCAAGGGAAGCTCAACTCCCCAAGTATTAACCCGTACAACCTACAAGACTTTGCTGGATGGCTCCAAGTCAAGGCTCAGCAACAGAGACTCTCCAGTAGGTTAGTGCAACGTTACCAGTATGAAAGAGCTCCCAGCAGTTCAAAGGAGAAGAATGCAGCTAAACCGACCAGCCAAAGTACAACATTGTATCATGGTGCATCACCCACAGAGTCTAAAGCATCTCCCAGTCCTAAGGTGTCTCGGAAGAGAACATCACCCAAAGTTATCTGCCTATTCTGTGGCAGCAAAGATCACTACATCACTCGATGCAGCAGTATCAGAGAGCAGCCTGTTGTTGAACTTTGCAAGTGGATTTCGGAGGAAAAGCGCTGCTGGAAATGTGCTCGTTCCCATGCACCTGAGACCTGTAATCTAAAGAAACCCTGCAGTGACTGTGGTGGTATTCACCTTCAAGTGCTCCATGGTGTGGCCCAACGTCATGCAACTGACACATCATCAGCTAACTCTGAGAGCCTTACCATCCATTGCTTCAGGCAGAGTCCTTCTGAAAGTGGTACCAGTTCTGCTACACCACAAATCGAAGACATTTGAGACTTATGCTATACTAGATGACGGGGCACAGCGCACCATGATCCTGCCCACAGCCGTCCAGCAGCTCCAGCTGAAAGGTGAACCTGAGACTCTAGCCCTTCGTACCGTCCGACCAGACACTACTCACCTCAATGGCACAAAGGTCACCTTTGAAATCTCCCCAAGAAATAACCCAGAGAAACGCTATCAGGTGTTGGGAGCATTTACAGCTTCTGGTCTTGATCTGGTAGAACAGACATACCCAGTTCAGGCTCTTCGGAGACGGTATGCACATCTAAGGGGAGTTCCACTACAGCCATTTCACAAGGTGCGCCCGCTGGTACTCATTGGTTCAGACCAAGTTCATCTCATCACTGCGAAAGAGCCTATTCGCCAAGGCACCAAAGGGGGTCCGGTAGCAGTACATACAGCTCTCGGGTGGGCTCTCCAAGGAGCAGTAATGTGTACCACAAACCAGGCACCAGTGCAGCAATGTTTCTTTATCTCCACTGCCCACACAGATGATCTTCTCTACAGAAATGTGGAAAGGTTATGGCAACTGGACGTGTTGCCCTTTCACAATGAGAAGCTGGTAGTCCGGTCCAGATAAGATAACGAGGCTATGCAGCTGCTTGAGTCCCAAACGCAGCAAGTCAGTGTACAGGGTGTACAACGTTATGCCACCCCTCTTCTGTGGAAGCCAGATGCACTTATGCTCAAGGGGTCTATTCAATCTGTTCTTGCAAACCTGAGGAGTACCGAAAGGAGACTCCAGAAAGACCCTAAGAAGGCCTCAATCTACTCAGGAGAGATTGCCAAGCTCATCGAAGCAGGTTATGTAGGCAAACTCAACCAAAGGGAAGCAGCCCAGGCAGAAGAAACATGGTACCTGCCCCACCATCTGGTGAGCCATAACAATAAGCCACGACTGGTTTTCAACTGTTCGTTCAAACACCAGGGTCTATCTCTTAACAACCAACTCCTGCCTGGTCCTGCACTTGGACATCACTGTTGGGTGTCCTGCTACGATTCAGACAGCATCATGTGGCTGTAATTGCAGATATCAAGCGCATGTTCCATCAGGTTTGTCTCCTACCAAAGGACAGACCCTTTCTCCATTTCATTTGGAGAGACCTGCAGAGTGAGAACCCTCCAGATGTGTATGAATGGCAGGTTCTACCATTTGGTACAACAAGCAGTCCATGCTGTGCCATCTTCGCTCTGCAACATCATACTCGTAATTCTGAAGCCAAATATCCAGGGTTACAAGAAATAGAACTTCTATGTGACAATTGCCTCGCAAGCTTTCCTACTGTTTCTGCTGCCAAACAAACAGTGGATCAACTACGCAGCATGTTAGCAGAAGGAGGATTTGACCTCAGACAGTGGGCTAGTAGTCACCCAGCCGTGGTCTCATCTTCCTACTGAAGCCCGCTCCTCCGCCACAGAGCAGTGGCTAGTTCAAACCCACGTTGACCCGATGGAGCCCACATTGGGGCTTCGGTGGGACTGTGCAACTGATACCCTTGGCTATCATTACAGGCCCATTGAGCATGCAGCACTGAATATGAGAGCAGCCTACCAGGTGCTGGCATCTCAGTATGATCCATTGGGGTTCGTACTACCATTTACCACCAGGGCTAAGGTAATCATCCAACAGTTGTGGGCGAAAAGGAGAGACTGGGATGACCCAGATCTACCGCCAACCCTTAAGGCAGCCTGGATAAGTTGGGAGAACGAGCTTGAACATTTCAGGGCAGTATCCATTCCTCGCTGTTACTTAACAGCCTTCACAACTACAGCAGAACAGAACATTTCCCTCCATGTGTTCTGCGACGCCTCTGAAAATGCGTATGGGGCAGTGGCATATTTCGCAGTTCAATCCGACAGTGACATTCACGTTTCCTTCATAATGGCCAGATCGAGGGTTGCTCCAAAGAGGCAGCAATCTATGCCTCGTCTGGAGCTTTGTGCCGCCTTAGTTGGAGCACAGCTAGCCAAACTGGTGAGGAATGAGATGACTCTCTCCATCAGTCAGACAATCCTATGGACAGACTCCTTGACTGTGCTAGAGTGGATTCAGTCAGACTCCTGTCGATATAAGGTGTTTGTCGGAACCCGAGTCTCCGAGATACAGGAATTAACCGATCACAGATCATGGAGGTACGTGAATACACAGGAAAACCCCGCTGACGATATAACACGAGGTAAATCGCTCCAAAGTCTGGCTGAGCCTAGTCGATGGAGTCAAGGACCTCCATTCTTGAAACAGAGCCAAGAGCACTGGCCTAAGAAACCTGAACTCACACAGTCAGAGGGAGCATCCGAATTGAAAGGGCTTCCATGCTACTGCCTAATAGCAGTTGACACTGCCTCCAACATCCCTGATTCTACCCAGTTCAGTTCATGGTGTGAATTAGTGGAGGCAACTCGACAGGCCTGCCAAGGGGCGGCCACATCGGATTCTGCATCCAGTGAGCCTATGACTAGTAAAGAGGCAGAAGCTGCCCTGCTAAGAGCATGCCAACTCCAGAGCTTTCCTGAAGAAGTTGCTGCCCTCAAGGCACAGAAATCCATTCCTGCACACAGCCGATTAGTCAGCCTTGCTCCAGAATGGGATCCACTGAAAAACATGATAAGAGTTGGAGGCCGATTAAGGAGGCTAGCAAACTCAGACCCAGAACAAATCCACCCCATTGTGCTGGACCCAAGACATGCAGTAACGAAGCTCCTTATCAAAGTATTTGATGAGCGTCTGTTACACCCAGGAGCAGAAAGAGTCTACGCTGAAATACGTAGACAGTACTGGATTCTCAGAGGGTGTCAGGCCATAAAGTACCATCAAATTCACTGTCTGTCCTGTCAGCGATGGAGAGCTCAGCCAAAGGTTCCGCCAATGGCAGATTTGCCACCAGAACGCCTCCGACTGCTCTGTCCACCTTTCCACTCAACTGGTGTTGACTGCTTCGGCCCATACCTGGTCAAAATAGGAAGGCGAAATGAGAAACGCTGGGGGCTAATTTTCAAATGTCTCACAACTAGGGCAGTACACATTGATCTCCTCAATTCAATGGATGTAGATGCCTTCTTTCTTGCGCTCCGCCGGTTCATAGCCAGAAGAGGTAAACCACACGAGATCCGTTCGGATTGTGGCACCAACTTCCGGGGAGCTGACAGAGAATTACGGGAAGCTTTCTCAATTATGGAGCCAGAACTCAAAGCCCAGCTTTCAGACTATCAAATTAGCTTCAAGTTTAATCCACCCAGTGCTCCAAACTTTGGCGGAATATGGGAGCGTGAAGTCTGTTCCATAAAGAATGCTCTCCAGGTGGCTGTCGGAACCCAAACTGTCACAGAAGATGTTCTGTCCACAGTCCTAGTGGAAGTGGAAGGGATACTCAATTCGAAACCACTAGGATATGCCGCTGACATGGATCCGATTACTCCTAATATTCTCTTAATGGAGCATTATTGTGTTCTATTCTCTTGTGGATGCATCACTGCCTCAGGTGGCATACGCTCCAGGAGACATGGGGCGACGGAGATGGCGGAGCATGGTGGACATGGTGTGCCAGTTCTGGATACACTTCACTAGAAACTACTTGCCTACGCTCCAGACCCGGCAGAAGTGGCATAAAGCTTCAAAGAACCTGGAAGTTGACTCTGTCGTACTTATTGTGGATCCGCAACTCCCAAGAGCTCAGTGGCCCATAGGCAGAGTTCGAAAGACATTGCCCAGTAGTGATGGATGTGTGCGGACTGCTGAAGTTGTCGTTGATGGTAAAGCTTACATCAGACCAGTTGCCCGCCTGATAGAGTTGCCTGCTTTAGAAAGTAATACTAAAGACATTTAGAGAATTCCCTTTATTACCCATTTGCTGCTCAAATGTGGGGGCGGCTGTTGTGAATTCTTCACTTTAAGTTTAAGACTTGCGATCTGCGTGATGTTTCAGTAATGACTTACGTAAATAACGTAGTGCAGGGTTCACAGCATGTACGGTCTTAGCGTAACTGCCTATTCACTAAGTTACTTCAGCACGGCAGTCATACTGCGTGCTCTCACACAGGTGCAGCGTTTATGTGCAAGAGAAAGTGCGTGACAAAAAACTACCTCAAATACACTAACATGTGTATATGGTCAAATCTTGTGCAATAAACGGTCAAACTCAATATGATGACTCGACTCCCTGACAAGAGTTCTGCAGCGGTCAATAATTATTAACCAGCATTCAGTGGGGCAGTCCCCAACAGCTAGCATTCTCTTCATTTGATTAGTTGCACTAACATTACTATTCACAGAAGCACTAAACTAAGCTTCTTGTACAAAGATTTTTTAAGATAACTTCATGAGCATAAAACTCCTAACACAATGAAATCTGTCTTTCTGCATTGCAAATTACATTTCATTTCATGTGGGCAAGCGTTAGTGTTAACATTGCATAAACAACTTTCTGTAACAGAAAAATAAGGTTTTGAGCATATGTTGGCTAGCAGTCTCTTCATTTGCTTAATTGCACTAACGGTGTTTTTCTTCATAGAAGCACTAAACAAAGCTAACAGAGAAAGTAGGTTTTCAGCATATGTGTGTTTGCATTCTCTTCATTTGCTTATTTGGACTAGCATAGTGTTACTGTTAGCAGAAGCACTAAACTAAGCTTCTTGTCCTTAGAAGCTCTAACATAACTTAATGAGCATAAAACTCCTAACACATGCATAGTGTTTGATGCTAGCGAGTTTCTCTCATTAATGAAGAAGTCACTAAGGTGGTTGCTAAGGTGTTGCTATGTGTTTGCTAAGGTGTTGCTATGCGGTTGCTAGAGTGTTGCTATGCGGTTGCTAGGGTACTCAGGGTTGCATTGCAAATAACATTTCATTTCATATGGTAGAAACATCTTTCATTTGGGCAAGTTTTAATTTTAACTGCATAAACCAACTTTCTCTAAAAGAGAAAGCAAGTTTTCAGCATATGTGGGCTTGCATTCTCTTCATTTGCACTAACATAGTGTTACTGTTAGCAGAAGCACTAAACTAAGCTTCTTGTGCTCAGAAGTAGTAACATATGTTCATGAGCATAAAACTCCTAACTCATTGAAATCTGTCTTTCTGCATTGCAAATGACATTTCATTTCACTTGTTAGAAACATCTTTCTTGTTGGGCAAGCTTTAGAGTTAACATTGCATAAACCAAATTTCTCTAACAAAAAAAACAGGGTTTCAGCATATGTTGGCTAGCATTCTCTTCATTCGCTTAGTTGCAGTAACATAGCGTTACGGTTCACAGAAGCACTAAACTAAGCTTCTTGTGCTTAGAAGTTTTAACATATGTTCATGAGCATAAAACTCCGAACACATTAAAATCTGTCTTATTCATTGCAAGTAGCAATTCATTTCATATATTAGAAACATTCATGTGGGCAAGCTTTAATCTTAACATTGCATAAACCAACTTTCTCTAACAGAGAAAGAAGGTTTTCAGCAAATGAGGGCTTGCATTCTCCTCATTTGCTTAGTTGCACTAGCATATTGTTACTGTTAACAGAAGCACTAAACTAAGCTTCTTGTGCTTAGAAGTACTAACAGATGTTCATGAGCATAAAACTCTTAATACATTAAAATCGATCTTTCTGCATTGCAAATTACATTTCATTTCACTTGTTAGAAACATCTTTCATGTGGGTAAGCTTTAGTGTTTATATTGTATAAACCAACTTTCTCTAACAGAGAAAGAAGGTTTTCAGCATATGTTGGCTTGCAATCTCTTAATTTGCTTAGTTGCACTAACATAGTGTTACTGTTAACAGAAGCACTACACTAAGCTTCTTGTGCTCAAAAGTACTAAGATATGTTCATGAGCATAAAACTCCTAACACAATAATATCTGTCTTTCTGCAATACAAATAACATTTCATTTCACATATTAGAAACATCTTTCTTGTGCGCCAGTTTTAGTGTTAACATTGCATAAACCAACTTTCTCTAACAGAGAAAGAAGGTTTTCAGCATATGTTGGCTACCATTCTCTTCATTCGCTTAGTTGCACTAACATAGTGTTACTGTTCACAGAAGCACTAAACTAAGCTTCTTGTGCTTAGAAGTTTTAACATATGTTCATAAGCATAAAACTCCTAACACAAAGAAATCTGTCTTTCAGCATTGCAAATTACATTTCATTTCAGATGTTAGAAACATCTTTCACGTGGGTAAGCTTTAGTGTTTATATTGTATAAACCAACTTTCTCTAACAGAAAAATGTTTTCAGCATATGTTGGCTAGCATTCTCTTCATTTGCTTAGTTGCACTAACATAGTGGTACTGTTCACAGAAGCACTAAACTAAGTTTCTTGTGCTTAGAAATTCTAACATATGTTCATGAGCATAAAACTCTTAACACATTAGAATCTGTCTTTTGCATTGCACATAAAATTTAATTTCATAAGGTAGAAATATCTTTCATGTGGGCAAGGTTAGTCTTAAGCCTAACCCGTTGCAAATAACATTTAACATGCAAACATAATAACATGCAAACCCACATATACTGAAAACCTTCTTTCTCAGTTAGAGAAAGTTGGTTTATGCAATGTAAACACTAAATCTCTCCCACATGAAAGATGTTTCTAACATGTCAAATTAAATGTTATTTGCAATGCAGAAAGACAGATTTCATTGTGTTAGGAGTTTTATGCTCATGAAGCTACATTAGAGTTTCTAAGGAAAAGAAGCTTAGTTTAGTGCTTCTGTGAACATTAACACTATGTTAGTGCAATTAAGCACATGAAGAGAATGCTAGCCCACATATGCTGAAAACCTTCTTTCTCTGTTAGAGAAAGTTGGTTTATACAATATAAACACTAAAGCTTACCCACATGAAAGATGTTTCTAACAAGGGAAATGAAATGTAATTTGCAATGCAGAAAGAAAGATTTTAACGTGGTAGGAGTTTTATGCTCATGAAGTTATGTTAGAGCTTCTAAGCACAAGAAGCTAAGTTTAGTGCTTCTGTGAACAGTAACACTATATTAGTGCAACTAAGCAAATGAACAAAATACAAACTCACAAATGCTGAAACCCTCCTTTCTCTGGTGAGAGAAAGTTGGTTGATGCAATGTGAAGACTAAATATTGCCCACATGAAAGATGTTTCTAACATGTGAAATGAAATGTTATTTGCAATGCAGAAAGACAGGTTTAATTGTGTTAGGAGTTTTATGCTCAAGAACTTATGTTAGAGCTTCTAAGCAAATGAAGGGAATGCTAGCCCACATTTGCTGAAAACCTTCTTTCTCTTTTAGAGAATGTTGGTTTATGCAATGTTAAGACAAGCTTGCCCACATGAAAGATGTTTCTAACAAATGAAATTAAATCTCATTTGCAATGCAGCAAGAGATTTTAATGTATTAGGAGTTTTATGCTCATGAAGTCATGTTTGAGCCTCTTAGTACAACAAGCTTAGTTTAGTGCTTCTGTGAACAGTAAGACTATGTTAGTGCAACTAAGCAAATGAAGGGAATGCTAGCCCACATATGCTGAAAACCTTCTTTCTCTGTTAGAGAAATTTGGATGATGCAATGTTAAGACTAAAGGTTGCCCACATGAAAGATGTTTCTAACAAGGGAAATGAAATGTAATTTGCAATGCAGAAAGAAAGATTTTAACGTGGTAGGAGTTTTATGCTCATGAAGTTATGTTAGAGCTTCTAATCACAATAAGCTTAGTTTAGTGCTTCTGTGAACAGTAACACTATATTAGTGCAACTAAGCAAATGAACAAAATGCAAACTCACAAATGCTGAAACCCTCCTTTCTCTGGTGAGAGAAAGTTGGTTGATGCAATGTGAAGACTAAATATTGCCCACATGAAAGATGTTTCTAACATGTGAAATGAAATGTTATTTGCAATGCAGAAAGACAGGTTTAATTGTGTTAGGAGTTTTATGCTCAAGAACTTATGTTAGAGCTTCTAAGCAAATGAAGGGAATGCTAGCCCACATTTGCTGAAAACCTTCTTTCTCTTTTAGAGAATGTTGGTTTATGCAATGTTAAGACAAGCTTGCCCACATGAAAGATGTTTATAACAAATGAAATTAAATGTCATTTGCAATGCAGAAAGATAGATTTTTTTATATGTTGAACGCACATGAAGGGAAGGCAAACCCACATATGCTGAAAACCTTTTTTTTCTGTCAGAGAAAGTTGGTTTATGCAATTTTAAGACTAAAGCTTGCCCACATGAAAGATGTGTCTAACAAGTGAAATGAAATCTCATTGGCATTGCAGAAAGAAAGATTTCAATATGTTAGGAGTTTTATGCTTATGAAGTTATGTTTGAACTTCTTGGTACAACAAGCTTAATTTAGTGCTTCTGAGGACAGTAACACTATGTTAGTGCAACTAAGCACATGAAGAGAATGCAAACCCACTTATGCTGAAAACCTTTTT